ATCTTTTAAAATATTTTCAAGCCTTGCATTATAGACTCCATGAATGCAAGATATGCAAAATGTATATAGTGCAATGAAAACTGGATAGGAAAACAACTGAGTCCCCACCTGCCTCTTACAAGAAAAAATGAATACTTAAGTTTCTTTTTGTATGCAGATCGAAGAAACTTTCAGTATTTCTGCATCTTTACCACAACTAACAGCTTCTTCCCCTTAAAACAGTTGTAGGATGAAAACTTATATTTCTATGCATGCAACTTTCTGTCTTTCTAACTACATTTCTTTTTGTATGCAGATCAGATATACTTTCAGTATTTCTGCATCTTTACAACAACGAACAACTTCTTCCCCTTAAAACAGTTGTAGGATGAAAATTTATATTTCTATGCATGCAACTTTCTGTTTTTCTACTTGGATAGTTAGAGCTAGAAGTATATGTCAGGAGAGAAAATTGGTTATCAGTCCAGACCATCTGGTATCCAGACAACTGGCTGCAACATGTTTAAACAAAATTTCTAAACATTTTTCAAGACTATACCTCACAACTATAACATCTAGAATATCAAACAAACTTTTACTGCATATTTATCAAACATTTCACTTGTGGGGAATATTCTAAATTTTCTTCAGATCCAGATATAAACGTGTAGTAATTTTAAACAAATTGTAAATGTTTCCTGCCCCATTAGTGTCTCAAGATGTTAAAAGCTACATGAACACAACAGAGAGTTGTAACTGAGCACACACCAAAACGAATTCACCAACAAGCAAACTTTGTAATATTTTTTCTTCAAAATTTTATCTATACACACATATTAGGAGAAATCATTCAAAATTGATCCACATCTACTATTTTGCCAATAGAGTTGAAAAGGTGCCAAACATCCAATCCAGAAAAATGTATCAAGGAGTTCTTATACTGACAGATTTTACCACCCCTCCAAAATAAAATTTAAAAAAACTCAATGAAAACTGACATTTCATTGTTGCTGGTGTCTAGTCATCTCTCTATCAGACTCAACAAATGCACTATTTGTCTTTCTTAATTTCTCCTGATACTTTGATAAGAGGATTGTATGTCATATTGATGAATCGAGGCTCAATGCCTAATTGTCTAAGGACACTTTTTTAAAAAATTACCACAGTTGAAGTGAGGACACAAGGTAAAGAATCACATTCAAGAAGAATCACAGGAAACATTTTGAAGTATTTTGATCCTGCATCCAACAGATTTGGAAAGGCCTACAAGTGATATTTAGGACCTCATCACATGGATGCCTCTGATGCAGGGAACAACAAGGTGATCTGTAAAGCAGTGAGGCAAATTGTGGAGCAACGGGGAGAATCTGTCGCCCAGCATCCCACATCATCCACATTGTCCACTTGCCCATCACATGCCGGAAAGCATACCTTTCCAGGGTGCTCTCACACTGTCCTCAGAATTTCTAATCTGACCATGGGTAATCTTCCATGTTCATAATTCCCCTCCATAAAACACTTTGCTGACACAGCCATCATCATAGCTGGCTGTGTCAACGAAGTGTTGTAGAACAGGTAATTTTACTAATGCGACAAGGTCCCTAAACTAGCCCTCTGCCATGCAGAAATCCACTACAAAAGCACTCATGAGAAGTGACCATCTTCAATGTAGGAGAGTCCACCACTTCCTGAAGCACACTATTCTACTGTCAAGCAGGTCCTACTATCAGAAAGTTCTTCCTAATGGATCGTTAGTTGGTTTTGGAGCTCCAGAAAGGATGCCTGGACACGGCAAAGGAGGCAAAGGCTTGGGGAAAGGAGGCACCAAGTGGCGCAAGAAGATCCTTCATGACAATATCCAGGGCATCACCAAGACCACCATTCACCACCTCGCTCGTCATGGAGGAGTGAAGCGCATTTCGGGGCTCATCTATGAGGAAACCCGGGGCATCCTGAAGGTCGTCCTGGAGAACATGATCCATGACTTACACCGAGCATGCCAAGAGGAAGACCGTCACCACCATGGACGTGGTCTATGCCCTGAAACGGCAAGGCCGCACTCTTTATGGCTCCGGAGGCTAAAGAGTTCCTTTGAAGCCTTGATTTCTCTCAAAAGTTCTTCATAATGTTTAGTCAGAAACTCTTATTTTGCAAGAACCTCTACAGCAGCATAGAACAAGCTCTATCATAATAGCCCTTCAAATGTTTAATTATAGCTATCACATCAACTCAGACTTCTTTTTTCCAGAAGAAATACGTAACTATTGCCCATGCATTTATCCTGAATCAGTATTTATGTTTTTTTTTTTATACCACTTTTTAGAGAAACACTAAAAGTAGCTCACGGTAATTTAATCTTGGCCCCTTCTGCACAGTCATATATCCCAGGATCAGATTCCAAACTATCTGCTTTAAACTGGATTATATGGGTCTCCACTGCTACATAATCCAGAATAAACAGATATGAAATGGGCTTGAGAGTTTACCACATTTCAGAATTTGGAATTCTGTGCTACTACTACTATTACTACTACTAATAACAATAATATACAGGTGACACACTTTAATGATTAATCCAGTACATGCCATTTAATGCTTTTCAATATAAATATGTTGTAAAGCAGTTCCTCAACTTTTTAATTATAAAGATGTTGACTCTTTTATGCTCCACATCTTCAGAAAACAAGTCACTGAGTATTTGATCTACTTCTCTCATTTATCATCCCCATTGTGCCTCCTTCACTAATCCCCACTTTGGTTAATCAAAAGAACACAACATTCAAGGGATACAAAGGGAGGGCTAGAAGAAAAATATAACTTAAGTATTTCTATTGCTAGGGAGGTTCATTTCTAACCCACAGGAATGTTATTTAAATATTGTTTTCTATCAACACATATAACCACAAGGCAGGATGTAAGTGAAAAGCCTCAAATAGAATGAAAAAGTAATAAAACTTGATTTTTCACTCCCTTGTACTCTGACAACTCATCTGTGAAAGTTGAATATTTATTTGATACCAGGGAAACTACATTCTCCATTCCTTCTGTTTTCTATAACAGTTGATGTCTAACTCAAACTTTATGAAAGAGACATTGATTCAATTATTTATCTCACATATAGACTGGTCATTAAAATTCTCTTGAATAGTTCAACTTGGATGAATGGGAACGTGGAAGGAAAAGAGAAGGGAGTGTGTCTCGGCTCTGGTCCTTCCAACTTTTGGCTATAGCTATGGCCTTTAGCATCTCGCCCCATAACAAGTTATCTTGAATGCAGCACTCAGCAGAAGAACAATAGTGAAGACAATTTGTGAGCTAGAATCCTAGATGGATTAATGCTGGGATCCTCAAACCTTTTCACCAGAGGGCCAGTTCATGGTCCCTCAAACTGTTGGGGAGGCAGACTATAGTTTGAAAAAAATGAATGAATCCCTATGCGCACTGCATACGTCTTATTGCTAGTGCAAAACAAAATAAGAGAACAATACAATATTTAAAATTGGAAAATTAAGAATAATTTTAACCGTTTTAAATTTACCATTATTTTAATGGGAAGTGTGGACCTGCTTTTGGCTGATGGAATAGTCAAGTTAATTAAGATTGTTATTAGTGTGTGCTTTCATGTCATTTCAGACTTAGGGCGACTCTAAGGCAATGGTTCTCAACCTTCCTAACGCCACGACCCCTCAATACAGTTACTCATGTTGTGGTGACCCCCAACCATAACATTATTTCTGTTGCTACTTCCATAACTGTAATTTTGCAACTGTAATGAATTGCAATGTAAATCTTTGATATATAGGATGTATTTTCATTCACTGAATCAAATTTGGCACAAATACCTGATACGCCCACATTTGAATACTGGTTGGGTTGGGGGAATTGATTTTGTCATTTGGGATTTATAGTTCACCTACAATCAAATAGCATTCTGAACTCCACCAACAATGGAATTGAACCAAACTTGGCACACCGAACTCCCATGACCAACAGAAAATACTGGAAGGGTTTGGTGGGCATTGACCTTCGGTTTTGGAGTTGTAGTTCACCTACATCCAGACACCACTGTGGACTCAAAATATGATGGACCAGGACCAAACTTGGCACAAATACTCAATATGCCCAAATGTGAACATTGGCAGAGTTTGGGGAAAGTAAACCTTGACATTTGGGAGTTGTAGTTGCTGGGATTTATAATTCACCTACAATCAAAGTGCATTCTGAAATCCACCAACAATAGAAATGGGCCAAACTTCCCACACAGAATCCCCATGACCAACAGAAGAAAATACTGTGTTTTCTGATGGTCTTTGGCGACTTCTCTGACACTCCCTCGTGACCCCCCCCCCCGGGGTCCCGATCCCCAGGTGGAGAAACGCTCGTCTAAGGCTTATGGTGGTAGCCAGGTAAATGGCCTTGGAGGGCCAGATTCAGCCCGCAAGCCTTAGATTGGGGACCCCTGGATTGATGTGACGCCCAGTATTAGACAACTTCCTAATAAGGTAGTATGGGCAAAGGGAAAGATGAACACAAGTTATATGTTATGTGCATCTGTGGGCATCTTTTCTCTACTCAACACCATTTTTTTAAAAAAAGGAAAAGGTCTGTTTTCCATTTTCCAGAAGAGGGGTCTACATAATGTTTTACCATTTCTTTTCAATCAGTTTGCCCTTCCATTTTCTATTCCCTACAAAAAGGTAAAAGGTAAAATTACCTTAGATTTAGATTAAAACAGAAAATAGAAAAGCAACATACAGTTCTTCATCATGAGAGAATTTGGCTCTCACCAGTAGCACAAGCTCAATCAAGCCATTTCACTCTAGTTTACAACATTTTTAAATGGCACTTACATTGCTTTCCTCTTTCTTGTTCTGGGGAGAAACAGACTTTGGTAATGTTGTCATTTTCACTTTTGTTTTGGAACTGGGAACATGCAAGGAACTCTGGCCAAGAAGAATTCACCATCCCAAGAACAGGTTCACATCCTTCCTTTGCAGCCTCACAAAATGATCTGCAAGGCAGGAGTCCATGGCTAGGAAAAAAATAAAAGTAAATACCAATAATTAATTCCTTTTAATATGCAAAGTTATTTTATATTTAATGAAAGTCACAAATCTGGTGTTTGCTTATAAATGAAGTAGAAGCTTGATGAAAGGTCTACAGCTAAAATAAATTTTATGTGTATGGAAGGGAGAAGATCATATTGCATTAAAAAAACAATAGATTTGAACATTGAAAGGTTTTTTTTACAGATGTTGTTACATAAATTTAAGTGGCAAACCTCAGCAAATTATATAAATGGTCATATATACCTATGCTTTCAGTTTGAAAAAAAATCAGAATTACATCTAAATTATGAGACTTAAAACTAAATTTAGGAATTTTTGAACAAAATTCCAAACCGAGTTTATTATTTTTAATTGAAAGGAATGAGTGACTTCTACAAGGAATTCTGAATGATTATAGCACAAAAGAAAATCTAGATACAGGGGTACCTTGACTTAAGAGTTTCATTTGCTCTTAACTCAAAATGCTCTTATCTCAAAGCAAATTTCCCACTGGGAAGCCCCCCCCCCATTTTTGTTACTCTTTTCAAAGAAGAAAATGTACTTTATAAATAACAAAAATGTATAAATGCACACTAACAAGAAACAAAAAAAGAAAGATCAACTTTATAATGGTATAAGCACAAGGAAGCACATTTGAGGCAAGGAAATGTGTGTCGGCCAGTGTAACAACAAGGCAAAATCCACATATTCACATGAAACAATAAAAAAGCAATTTTAAAATGGTAGAAGAACAAAGTTGTGGCCAGGAAGCACAAAGTACAAAGTGAAGAGTCAGAAGCATCATTTTCTTCATACTGTACTTATTCCAGCCTCCCTCACGCTCTTGTTCTCTATCCCTCTCTTTGTGAGGCCAAACATACCAGGAATAAAAAACACACAAAATCAACTAAAGCAAAGTTCCTCAAAGTGGACAAGAGCAAAGCAGACAGCAATCTCCCAAAAGTGTACAAGAGCAAGGCAGACAGCAATTTCCAAAAGCAAACAAGAGCACGAGGCATGGAGGCTGCTATCTTGAAGCCTTAAAGCTCTGTACTCTTGTACTAGCACTCCCTCTAGCACTTAGCTCTCAACTAAAAATGTGGCTCTTATGTCAAAGCGAAACCTGGGCCAAAAACTGCTCTTAACTCAAAACACTCTTAAATTAGGAGTTGAGGTTCCACTGTATACAACCACATCGTTTCTCTGGCTTTCTTTTTAAGATCATAAAGAGAATAACAGTTTAGGTTGTTTTTATTACATATTTACTTGCAAGACAGAACAAACATTTAGGAGATTGCAGGGCTAGTATAAAACACTTAATTTTTTTCTTGAGATAAAGCAACTAACATCAAGGCTTCTAATTAAAAATAAAACTAGAAAAGGTGCATAATACTGAAGCCAATGTATGTTATACAGTATCCAAGACTAATTTCTTTTATTTCCTGAGTCTGGATCTACACTACCATAGATCCAGACTCAGGAATGATTTATCAAATCATTTATCAAATCATTTAATCCAGATTATTTGCTTTGAACTGGATTATATGAGTCTACAATGCCATATAATCCAGTTCAAAGCAGATAATCTGGATTTTATATGGCGGTGTTGATGGGCCTGAGATAATGAATCCCACAATAATTCCCTCCATCCCTGCTATTGAAAACACAGTGATAGATACCATAGAAAACAATGTATAAATTAACTTAGTGTATAAATTGACAGAAGGTTAACACATGCTAAAAAGGTGCCCTTTAAACCCGATTCCTTCTGAAAAAAAGTGCACCTTTCCATGCCTGTGTGTCCCCACATGCCTTCCGTCCATCCCCTCTATGTAGAATCCTCCTGAGAACATGCATGTTTGTCAAGCCTGAAACAGCTAATCAGCAGGCTTTAGCCTGTTGTCGGAAGCACAGCAGAAAGGGAGCCATTCTGGCTTCTCTGAGCAGCCACCAAGAAGGCCCAGATGACTTCCAGTGGCGCTTCGGCCATGAACTGTGCTGAAAGTGTTCTATGACAGAGGCCTGAGAACATGGGAGGCTTCCCATATTCCCATTCAACAGAACGAGGACAGTGGGATGGGGAAGGGAGCTATGCAGGGCATGGAGCAATGGGTTCCAATGCTGCTCACTGGATTTGCTCCACTGTCCCACAAATGCCCCTGCTTTCTCCTGGTTCAAGGAGCCTAATGTGATGAAGTCCCTATCCTCTCGAATTTTCTCAAATCCCCAGAAAAGAAATCCTATTAGCTTAACTGTTGAACGAATGTATACTATATAACATATACAGGTGGCATTTGCAACTTAGCACAATTTACATTATAATAATTGTATAATAATAAATAATTAAGTGTTCTCAAATTCATGGAATTTTTCAAGAAAGGCAATTCAGCATAAAATAGAGGACATAGAAAACAACTTCAGTGGCGATGATAAAAGATTTATTTATAGCATTTACACTTTTCCCCTCATCCTGTAATGTCTGCTTTATTATTGTGTTATCATCAGTTCACACTGTTGTGAATGCTCACTCTGATTATTTTGCATACATTTGCCTTGTAGTTTAAGATCCACCGGGGAGGCCCTGCTCTCGGTCCCACCAGCCTCGCAAACGCATCTGGTGGGGACGAGGAACAGGGTCTTCTCGGTGGCAAACCCCCTCCCCCCGCTTTGTGGAGCTCACTCCCCAGTGAGATTAGATTGGCATTCTCCCTCCTTTTCTTTAGGAAAAAACTGAAATCGTGATACTGGAACCAGGCCTTTGGCTAGCTTATATAATGGCACTTTGGACACTGAACTGGACCATATGATTGTTATAATAATGGAAACGGCTATATGATTGTATAACTAATGTTATTGTTTTTAATCTATTACGTATTTATGGTGTTATATTGTTGTTATACTGTGATATTTGCGGTATTGAATTGTTGCCAGTGTTAGCCGATCTGAGTCCCCCCTCGGGGGTTGAGAAGGGCGGGGTAGAAATGTTGCAAATAAATAAATAAATAAATTTGAGCTTTAACGTTTTTATTATTTGATTATAGAATTTGATTATAGACTGTTTATATTTTACATACAATTGTTACATTTCTAACATCTACTGGCTCTGAAAATAACAGATGCTCTTTCATTCTCTGTTGGTGGGATGTACGTATGGGGGAATTTTCCAGTACGGTCATTAAAAACAGAAAAACTCCCATAAAAGTGTAGTAGATTTTTCCTGCCATGTGGCCATCATTCCATCTAATTAAAGGCCCCCTAATTGGATGAATATGGAAAATGTAAACAAAAGTTTGTATTGCATAACTTCGTCTTTACAGCTGGAAATTACTATATTCTTAATTCATTCTGAAGTTATTTGGGATATTAGAGACAACTCTGGGTGTGTGGTCCTCTTGTGTGTGTGGTTGTTTTTTTAAGTTTCTTTCCCCTGTTCCGTCTTCTCTTTTATCCAAAGAATTAATGCTACAACTACACAAAAGTAAATTCAGATTGTTTTGATGCGAGTATATGTGCATATTGGGAAATCTTCTATAAATTACTTAAAGCATGTTATTTATTTATTTATTTATTTATTTTGTATCAAAAACATTGCATAAATAAGTATAAAACCGATAGAAAAATTGGAGGACAAGTGGCTAAATAATTTTTGACCAAAAATGGGCAACAGCAACCACATTGTATGTAGCCTTAAACAATTCTTCCTTTATGCATGAGGCAGGGCATAGTGGTCAAGCATATAGATGTGGAGTTGTTTGTTCTGCTCCACAATCGCACAAGGTGGAGGATTCTTCTAGGTAGTGCCATTTTGCCAAGTTGTCTGTTGTCTGTTCAGGGACTTGCCCATTCTTGGTTTGCCCTTGGTGGCAGACTCTTGTGGGCGTCCATCCAGTTGGCTGATGGAAGTGTGGATATAACCCTCATCTGATTTTTGTAAATGAAAGCATAGTCCACCAATACATTAAAAGGGTATTATTATTATTATTATTATTATTATTATTATTATTATTATTATTATTAGAAACACCAAAAGATGAGTCCACAGCAGACACTCTGCTGGCTGTTGTATTGGATCACACATCGGACACTTCCCAGGTGTCTAGGACTGTGTAATGTATCAGCGAATAATGTATGCAGATCCCAGTAAGGTGGCCTTTTGCAGCTGGCAGATGGTAATCTTGTCAGTGCCGATTGTGTCTAAGTGCAGGCCAAAGTCTTTAGGCACTGTATCCAGTGTGCTGATCACCGCTGGAACCACCTTGACTGGCTTTTGACAGAGTCTTTGCATTTCGATTTTTAAATCCTCATATCCTGTCAGCTTTTCCAGTTGTCACCTGGGATTGCAACAGCGACAATCCATACTTCATTTTTTAACACAATCGTGAGGTCAGGAGTATTGTGCTCCAAAACTCTGTCTGTCTGAATCTGGAAGTCCCAGAGTAGCTTGATGTGTTCATTCTCTGTAACTTTTTCTGGCTTGTGATCCCACCAGTTCTTTGTCACAGGCAGATGGTATTTGTGGCACAGGTTCCAATGAATCATCTGAGCAATGGTGTTATGCCTCTGCTTGTAGTCTGTCTGTGCAATCTTCTTGCAGGATGTGATCTATTGTTTCATCTGCTTCCTTGCAGAGTCTATGTTTGGGATCTGTCATTGACTTTTTAATTCTGGCTTTGATGGCATTGGTTCTAATGGCTTGTTCTTGGGCTGCCAGAATCAGGCCCTCTGTCTCCTTTTTCAAAGTTCCATTTGTGAGCCACAGACATGTTTTTTCTTTGTCAGTTTGGCTCCCAATTTTTCCCAGGAACTTGCCATGGAGTTATAGTTATTATTATTATTATTATTATTATTATTATTATTATTATAAAAGGACCTTTCAATGCATGGGTTAGACACAAAGCTTGACTACCTTTTATAAATTGTATCAGTCATTAGGGATGTGTGACTTGACAAAAGCCCGTGCTGTTTTGGTCCCATTTTTTGCTTC